TCCTCACATGGCTTCCAATACCTGCCAGGTTATAGAAGACTCCATTAATACAGTAATAGGATGAGCCAATTGTCAATAAAAGGGAATAAAAGGGAATTTTGTGGAAAGTAAGAGGAAGATAGCAAATAAATTTCACAAAATTTTAGTAGTTTTTGAGGTGTCAGTTCATCAACATGACTTTATTTCATTGATCTGTCCTCTTTTTTTTTTATCCCAAAGTATAAACCATATATGTACTATCTAGACTATTCCAGTGGTCACAGCCTATTGGGTAAAAGTTCAGGCCATTAAAAGATGAAGAACAAATACTTCATAAGCCTGGCACTGAAGGACAAGCAAACTGGTGAGCAATGCTTGCGTAAATAGCAGTAGGAAAATCTCAGCTTTATGCAAAGGAAGAGTTATTGATAGTCTTGTGGAATCAAAGAGAGATAAGGAGAAATAAGACTGAGGGGCCCCAGTGAGATTGGAGCTTGGTTCATTTTTAGCCTCTGCCTCTAGACACTCAAGATGTCCATTTCCTTCCCTGCCCTTGGATTGTTAGGTATGTTATGAGTTAGATATAGATTGTGTCCCCAAGGATTCATATATTAAAGTTTTATATCATTGTGAGGTTCTAAAAGAGAGGAACTTAAATCTCTTCAAAGGTTTTAGCAGTGGCACCTTGGGAAATGGTTAAGATCTGATAAAGTTATCCAGGTAGAGCCCCCATGACTGAATTACTGGTTATTTTGTGCGAATTGGAAGAGAGACCCAAAGATACACATGTGTGTGCCTTCTCTTCCATGTGATGTCAGTATTGCCTTGTGACTCTGCCAGGCTTAGACCTTGGACCATAACCATGAGCCAAAATAAGCCTCTTTCTTATAAAGTATTTTGTTACAGTAACAAAAATGTCCTTACAAAAGATACATAAGGAGTCATTCAACAATCTTCCCTGCTTGCTTAAACATTTTAATCCAGGCTGCAAATTGTCTGAGACGAGGATTGCTATTGGTCACCAAATATCTTCTGATTGCAAGCATTTAACAAGATTGGATTGTCAAAACTTTCTACAATTAGCTTCCCCCTTAAAAAGGACTCATTCTCAAAGCTGTTAACGATAGTAACTGCATAATAAGCATGACTGGACCACCATTAGATTTTTTACACTCTTATTTATTTACTTTGTGTGTGTGTGTGTGTGTGCGTGTGTGTGTGTGTATGTGGTATGTGTGTGCATTAATGTGTTATGGAACTTGTGCAGAAGTCAGAGAACAACTTGTGAGGGCTGGTTCTTTCCTTCCACCATGTGGGTTCTGGGGATTGAAATCAGGTTGTGAGGTACGAAGGCAAGCGTCTTTAGCCTCTGAACCAATCCACTAGCCCTGGACCACCAATTTTTTATTCAAATCTTAAAAATGGCTTGTAAATTCCAAATGTTTTCTTTCCTATTTCCATTTGGCCAAACCGTTAAAAGACAACCCTTAATTCCAGCAGCCCCTGCAGCAGGTGGTGCCCACCTCTGCCTACAGAATTCCAGCCCAAACAATCTGCTCAGAAGTGCTGAGAAAGCAGTAGAATGTACTTGTGACTCAGCCTGTTAAGTAGGAGGACTGTCATTGTTATTTTAACTCCTGTCAGAGGATGTGGGAAACTCTCCCTCTTTCTGTCCACAGATAAGTAAGTAACTAAGTGTGGATCTCTCTTTAAAACCATGATTAATAAGAGCCTGAAAAGCTAGACCTTGGGTATGACTGGCAGCTGGCATGTGAAAGCAGCATCTGACGCCCTAATTTACCAATAGAATTTATTTTTAAATGTTTAGTCCATCTTGGAAATTGTTCCTATGGAGTTCAGGGGCAGAAGCACAGTGCCTACGAGGTGGTGATCAGCACAAACCAAAGCACTTATTTTCAGAGAAGATGGCAAAAATACCAGGCTTTCATTCTCGTACTGTTAGCTGTTGCTGTACTGTGACCCTAGAGTTTATTTTTCCCTTGTCAACCTGACAATACAGTCATCAAACACAGCTCTTTGGAATATTGTAAAAATACAACAACAAAAAAATCAGTCTCTTAAAAAATAAACTTCTCTCAGGTATGAATGATAGAAAATTACAAACACTCTGCAATATTGAATTGCAGCATATCTTAATATTGTTATTTAGTAAAAAGATAAAGAATAATACATATTTTCTATTCTGTAAATGCTTTTCTCATTTGTCCTCTAGCTGTTTTTTTTCCTAATTTGTCTATTATTTTAGAGGGTTTTAAAAAAATTATAAAAAAAGATTTGACATTATCAATTCAGCACTATAAAGTTTTTCACAATGATGTAAAATTATGAATCACTGCCAGGACAGTGTCTGAGCACTGAAAATGTGATAGATTCTGCTAAGATAAAGTGAAGGAATCATGTCAAGGGCACCAGCGATCACTGATGTTCACTAAAGGTATTCTGGGAACAAAACATCCACCTGCCCTGTTTCCCAGCAACCCTTGCATACTCAGTCATCCCTTTAACAAGTGAGAGCTCACTGGAGACGTAGTGGCCTAGGTGTTGGTGACATAGTTCAGAGCATGCATTCTTTGCTCTCAGTGGAAGGAGATGTTGAGATGATGTCAGAGAAGCAGAAGATGCCAGATCATTGTACCTAGTTGGTGATGGCAGAATTCATTCTGCTACAAGTAACCAAAATTTCTCTTTGAAACAAAGGAGTCATGTCAATTATCAAGTAAGGTTTTTTATTTTTTAAACAATGTTAACTTTGATCTCCATGTTGTAAGTAATGTAATGGTCTGCTATGGGCCTTAAAGAGGTTAAGTAATATATCTCTAATAGGTGGCAGAAGTTAGAAGAAAAATGATTTCCAGAGCCAGTGGAATATTAACAGAATTTTATGTGAAAAGAGTTGCAGATTTTAAGCACATTAATAAGACAAATGCCAGAGATACAGATCTACCTTTACATTTGGAATTACATGTGTTATACTGGAAATATTCAACTCTAAACTTTAGACACTATAGTAATTAGTAACATCAGCTAATTTAAAAGAATGTTATTTACCACAGTTTCTATAATCTACTTGACATAGTGATATCAAACATAACACATGGTATTAGAAAGCAACAGGATAAAAATACTTATTTAAATGGTCATCTTTGTATATCACTGGCTGAATCTTCATGTTTCCCAAGACACTGTTCTCTCATTTAAGGAAAACGTCGTCTATCCTTGACTTTTTAGTGTTAGTCCCCAATGAACATAAGAGGATCCCAATAAATATTGATGGAATAAATTAATTTTTATGCATGTGTCAACAAATTCTAGAATTAACTGCAATGTTAGAAAGGAATTTGAAAAGGATCTTTATTAAAATTTCTTTCATGATTTTTAAGAGAATATCAGCAATTAGTCCGGGCCTCCCAAATGTATCTTAAATTTCAAAGGTGATATTTACATTGTGTTTGGGAATAGTCAGACTTTCATCTATGGTGAAATAAAACATATTTCAATTATTGTGTTATGGCAGAACATGAAGGTCATGGGTCTCAATAGGTTAGCAAAATCCTTACACAACAATTAAAAAAATGTGTTTGCAGCTGGGAAAAAACATAAGGACGGGCACGATATCATAAGGAGAACATCAGGTTCTTTAGACACAAATTCCAAACAGGTTTTAGAAGACCTGCTTAAGCCATTTTAGCATCAAATCTTTAAAATGCTGAAAGAGACTTAGAAATTATAAGCACCAGAGATTAATATATTCAAAGCAGTAACCAAGGTAACAGCTGGAATGAGCCAACAAGATCTTCATAATCCAATAAGGATGAATCTAAATGAAAGGTGAGAGGCAGAGACCAGCAAAGGACCATCTTCAGCATGAGGCCAACTATGTATACTTCAAAAGTGTAATTTTGTGGCATTAGAACACAAAGAAAACTTATGTACCTTTAGAATTGTAACATTAGTTAGGAAGAAAGCAAAAAGAGCTTTTATTTCTGTGATGGTTTATTTAGAAAAGATTTTAAGATAGCTGAAGAACCACAATTGTTTAATCTATGTGGGAGATGCGTAGGTATTTATATTGTTTTCTTTTAGTCTTTTGCTATGAAAATTTTATGATTTTTTTTCATTTAAAAATAAAATTAAAAATAATGAAAGAAAGCAAACGTTGTGATCAATTGATGACAACACATTCAATACATTTAATAAAACAGTTAAAATGTATTTTCTAGAATGAAATCATTCCTTTGTACTCTCTTCTTAATTTTACTCTATCCTTATTTTACAAATTTTTAGTTTAAAGATGTAAAATAAAAGAAAACATAGCTTCTGTTTGTAATGGAGCTAAACTGCTCATTTATTTATACTTGTGATTAATTTGATAAACAAGGGAATATATAAAATAAAAGTTTGTTATTCATCGACTGTAGTTTCAGTGAGTGAAACTTTTTTTCTCACATAAATTCAAATGGAATTTATATAAAACACAGGAGAGCGAATGTCCCACATTCTCCCACAAGAAACAACTTCTGCTTAACAACTGAGGTTGGGTCCTTTCTTTCCCCGACGTGTACAATCTTAGTGAACTCTGTCACCTGCCTCTTTGCCTCAGGACCCTCATTTATAAAATGTGCACGATGGATTAGCTATCTCACAGAGCTGCTGTAAGAAAATAATACATTAATTTATGTAAAGTAAGTCATGCAGCAATATGCCTAGTACATAATAGGTACAGAAGAAATATTAGTATGGTTAGATGCAGCAGAAGAGGGTTGGTCCACTTCTCATTTCAAACCAAGGTCTTTTCATTCTTTTAGTGTTAAGTCAGTCTAAAAACTATAAATTGGTACTTTAATAATTCTTAATCTATTATATTAGCTTTGGAATTCTTATTGGTATTTCTTCCTCAATGAAATAAATTGACATTCATTTAAAGATTAAAACATATAGTTAGCAAAGAAGTTTGTCACAACTGTGGGTAACTCTTTTATGGTAGAGAGAGTAGGGCTTACCTGTTCAAGGAAATGGTAAAATATAGTTAGTTATGCTGTGTTCTCAAATGGTTGATAGTATGTTCTGGGTTCTTTCTGTTAAAAAAAAGAGAAAAATTCATGGTTTAATCTCTGATCCACATATACCAATCACATTAATGTGAAACTCAACTCATAGCTTTCTCTGTTTAATTTGGGTTAACTATGGAATTACAAGATGCATTTCAAAATGCCTTTTTATAGACATCATCTGTCAAGCATTTAGAATCTGCTAGGCACCATCTCAGATGTGACACAAAGCAGGGGGAATGTGAGCCACTGAATGCTTTCCCACAATGCTTTGCTTCACCCCAAACACGAGTCATAAGTGCAACATCCAAGGAGGAATAAAGTTTTAAATTGTTCTCAGCTAATAAATAGCAGGCAATTGCGTGCTCTCCCCAAATAATTACATTCATCTTAGTAAATTGTTAATTATATCCAGCAAGCTTTAAAAAAGACTGGGCCTCTAGCTCAGTCTGCAATGATTTTATAAAGCACAGGATTGAGAAGAATTTTTCAAACAACTAATTATGTCTTTTCCATGGAGTACTAAACTTATTTTGACATTCCAAAACATGGAAGTCACTCTGGATTAGCACTTCTGCTGAGAAATGCCACCCAGAGTAATCTGGAATACTTCCCACTAGGAATAAACAGAATGACTGGAAGACTCCAGGCTTCTTTCCCCGCTCATGAGCCATTCGGATGCCCCTTCATCTGTGGGCAAGACTGTACAAGCTGCACAGTGTGTGAGGGCCACCTGAAGTCTAGCTCTTACACTGGGTTTCTAAAGTTCTGTATTGATGCATTTTCCCAGAGCCTATGTGCTTCCAAACCAGTAGAATACACCTATCCCATCATCAAGAAGATTTTTAGACTGCAGAAGAGATCTTGAGACTCAAACCTTGATAGTCTACACTTCTTTAGGACCCAAAAGGAAATGCTCACTTGGAAAGAGAAGATATAGGTTATCTCGGTTCTTCTTTTGGATATTCTGGATTGTTTGGTTCATTATGGTTCTAGAGTTCAAATCCAGGACCTTAGGCATGTTAGGCAAATGCTTGCCTCTGAGCTATCTACTCAGCCCTTTTTTGATCTTTAAATAGCAAATGCACATAAAGATAGGAGCAGACAAGACTGTGATCTAAAAGCAACAGATATTGCCTGTATTAACTGCTTCTACTTATGTCAGCTCATTTGATCTTTGAGTATTCATACACAATATGAAAGAGCAAATATATCTACTGACATATATTTAGATTAGAAAGGCTTAACATATAGATAAGCACAAAGCAAAATCCACAGGCAAAAAGATACATGATAAACATTTCCATTCTTCATAATAATTTGATAATTATTTCAGCAAGAATGTTTGCTGAAATCTTTGCAGTTTTTGTCCCTTTAGTCAGACCAGATCTTTTCAAATTTGAGTATTGCAGAATATTTGAGTATTTGTAGAATATATATATGTATATAACATAATCATTTAAAGAATTTTGAAGGATAGTTTTGATTATAAGCAAGTGAAACTTTCTAGGTTAATTCTAGAATAAAAATTAAATGGGAGACCAGCTAGGGGCCTTGTTCAGATAAAAAGAGCCTTTGGATATTTAATAAATGAATATTGAATAAAATAGGATTATTTATCTTTATATTAGAAAATTTCCATTAATGTTCGAAAGTGCATTTTTTTTTTCTACTTGGTCTTCATTTTCCAACAAGTATGTATTTATGTGTGTAAAAGTGAGCATACACATTATGTATCTGTTTGTGCCTTTTATACTTGTAGAAAGGTAACAAAAAGGAATTCTGTAGAGCAGAGTTTAGCAAATAATGGTTCATGGTCCAGCTGGATCCTGCTGCTGTCTCTTTTCCCAAGCACAGTGTTGCTGGCAGTTAGCCACATCTATTCATTTCCAGGTGGCCAAGGGCTGCTCTGATTCTGCAGTGCCATAGCTGAGCAGGTGTGATGGACACTATTTGGCCCAAACTCAAAATGTTTACTGTCTGGCCATTTGCTAAAGCTTTGCTGCAATGACCAACAAAACATAACATATTTATTTGGTGAGCAATATTAGCAGCATTGTTAAATTACTGTCCTCTTAGTCCTTCTAAAACATAACTCCATACTTACATATGAAAGCAAAATTTCAGCTTAAAATACCTAAAGACTCAACTTCATCCCAAAAGAACTGGGAAGCTATTGGTCAAAGAATGAAATGATTGTTAGGAAATTCAGGGTACTCTGTATCTACCAGTCATGAAAAGAATACCCCATTTATCCATAATTTAGACTTTTATGGACGTTCCAACCAACCACAACAAAAAATTAAAATCCCTAAACCAAGAGTGAGAGAGTCTTGAGAAAAGTGACATTAGATGGCAGACCATGTTGCCTCCTAAAAGCCGCCCAGTCCACACAGACACAGGGGAGTGCATCCCTTCAGAGCACACACCTAAAAACCACACTCAAACACAGATGAATGTTCCTGTGCACCTCACCTCAGTGGTTTGATAGAAAAGAACTACCACACCAGGTCTCACCCTATAGCAAGAAGGGAAACCCAGAGTGGCTGCCATGAGAGAGGGGTTGGGACAAACGCATAAGCTGTGTTGGAAATAGCTGTCTCCAAACAATCCCTCCTCTTCTTTTCCCAGAGCATCAGGGAGGTGTTAGGATGCTCCGGGGATTCAGGCTCACAGTTGTACTGCTCAGGAACCCAGGCCAAGGGCAAAGAGGTCAAAAGATCTTGGCAGACATCTAGTCCTTACATGTGATTCATTCATAATAAAAAAAATGAAAATGGCTATTTTTTCTAGACTACATTTTCTCAGAGAGCTATAAATGCCATCTGGGATGTATTTTTAAAAAGCAACTTATAAACGATTTCATAAGGCACATTAAATTGAGCAGTCAGTTTTCAATTAACATAGTGCAACTCGAAGTAATAACTTTTATTCCACATCCAAAGGAATAAAGTAGCATAGCTTTTGTTACGAAGATTATTTTTCAGCTTTAATCTTAGATACATTCCATGGGGTGACACAACATCTTCAAATCAATATCAGCAAATATTGATCGGCTTTGATGTGCCAGTGTTCTGAGTACTTCATGCATAATAATGAATTCATTCCTTACTGTACCCCTCTGACTTTTACATCCCTACTTTATAGATGAGAAAACAGGTCAAGATAGCTTAAGTGACCATCCCAGCAAGGCAGTTAGAAAGTGGTCAAACCTTTCAATTGTATACCAGCTCTTAACAAACTCTGGAAACTGGTTTTAAGTCTACATCTCTGGTGAATGACAATTTCAATCATAAAGGCTTGTGGCACCTCTGAGAAGTGTAATTTTACCTTTGGCAGCTTGCAATTTACTAGAAATACTTATGAAGCATATTTATTATTCAGGATATTGAGCTTCTTATTTGCTCCATTATTTCTATTGGGTTTGCTTTTGCCACTTTCTAGAAGCTATGAGACAAAGCTGGAGACAAAGACTGTAAAGAGTCATGGCTGACATCCCCTAACAAAAAGTCAGCCACTGAAAAATTACCTTTAAGAATGAGTCTACAAGGTAGAGAAGACAATGTATGTCGTAGTTAACATCACAAGGTAAAGTCAGTACAGCATTCAAGGAGGAGTCCCGAATAAATAAACGCCTGTTCAGCTCTGATTTAAACCAGAACTCGCGTGTGTGTGTGTGTGTGTGTGTGTGTGTGTGTGTATGTGTGTGTGTGTGTGTGTGTTTGTGTGTCTTCATGTTTTGGGGGGGTACATACGTGTGTGCAGGAATACATGTGTATTTGTGTGCATGAAGACTAAAGGTCAATATTTGACGTCTTTCTCAATTCCCTTCCACCATATTTTTAAAGACAGGATCTCTCATTGAACCTAGAGCTCACTGATTCAGCCAGACTTCCTGATCAGAAAGTCCCAGGTATCCTCCTGTCTCCAACTCCCTAGTGCTAGGCTTAGAGGGGCACCCTGCCACATCCAGTGTTGGGTATTGTGGTTTGAGTGAGCAATGTTCCCCATAGGCTAATGTATTTGAACACTTGGTCTCCAGCAGGTGGCACTGCTTGGGGGAAGTCATGGAGCCTTTGCTGTGGCAAGTCCATCACTGGGGGCAAGCTTTGGGGGTTTAAAGCCTCACCCCACTTTCTGTTCTCTCTCACGCTGCTTCCTGTATTGAGGATGAAAATGTGATCATCCAGCTAACTCCTTCTGCTGCTACCATGCCGTGTCCTTGCAGCCAAGATGAATTCTTTCCCCCCCAGAACTGTAAGTCAAAATAAACCCTTTTCTCTTCTAAGTTGCTTTTGGTCATGTGTTTTAATCATAGCAACAGGAAAATATGCACTGAGTTTTTCGCATGTGTGTTGAGGATTGAATTTAGGTCCTCAAGCTTCTGGGGCAAGCATTTTCTTGACTGAGCCACCTCTTTTCTCCCCTAAAACCAACTCTCATCAGTTGATTACTCAAGCTAATGTGTTCATACTGCACTGAGGCCTCATGCACATATTTATGTGCACGTTATATACTACCTGTATATTTAAGTTACAGCGAGATAGTAGACTATCATGAAAATGTAATGCCAAGGTCTGATTTTTTCAAAGGCTGTAGCTCAGGTTTCCCAAAACAGTAACATCAAGAAGATAAAACCGAGCCAGTATTGTTGAGCCAGAATATTCTCTCTATTTGCTTTTGAAACACACCTTACTAGAAGTATTATTTGGTTATTTAATTTTGTGTTTCGATAGATTTTGGTGAATAACTAAAACATGGAAATGTTTCAAGTTTCTGGAGTGCCAACTGGGGTTTCTGAAGACTCATTGTAGCTGTTGCAGCACGAGGCTATTCAGTCAGCTCTGAAAGAGACAATAACACTGTTTGCTCTTCTACCAATATGCTTTATGAGGCTTTGAACAGTTCATGCAATTCAGCACACTTGTCCAGAATCACAAGATTTTAAACTACTGAGGACTGCACTGATGATCCATTTGGGACAGTATCTATTACTCGAGCAGTCCTTAGACAGAAGAGCAGCTGCC